CTCTCTCTCTTTTTCTCTCTCTCAAAAATAAACATTTAAAAATTTTAAGAAAAAAAAGAATTACAATAGCTCTATCATTTCGGGGCTCATTTTCTCATGAATTCTAGAAAGAACAAAGAATTAGGAAATGGAGCTCTCCTTTTACTTTTACAAAAACATACTTAAAGAGAAGGTGCCACAGAACCTTCATTCTGGAATAAATGGGTTCCATCATATGTGTTTTGTTTAGCAGTCAAAGACAACCCGGAGGCGTACATTCCCAGGTGTTGCTTCCAGAAGAAACCCTGAACGGAGAGCTCGTCCTCTCACCAGGTCAAGGTCCCGGATCCTTGGATCCTTTAGTGCTCTGCCCCCAGAAGAGGAGGAGGAAGAGGAGGAAGATAAGTTCATGTTGGTGAGAAAGAGGAAGACCATGGACAACTACATGAATGTGAGTTCTCCACATTTGTGCTCGCCCTTCCGTTTATCGTCTTCCACAGGCCCAGCATCCAATACACAGCACAGGACACACGCAGCCTCAATGCCAGATGACCCGTGGTAAACATGCTTCTCAAACCGTTTAAAATTGTTAATGCCACATATGCTATCAAATAGATGGGCTTTGTTATTAGATGATCAGGTCAAAGGTTTCTTCACCTTTTCTTAATGTCGGAATCATTTCCATGATGTTGTCCCCAATATCCTTAGTAAACTTAACAACTTGCATCTTCTCCATAAGCTCTAAAACAGATTTCTAGGTTGAATTCTTTGTGGAGAAATTACAAATCCTGTATCTGAGATTCAGAACTTGGGAGCACCAGTAAGAGCGCTATTCCATGATTTTTGTCATGCAGGAAGATGACGTGCCCAGAAATCGTCGTGCCGGATCCATGACCCTCCCACATATAATTCGCCCTGTGGAAGAAATTACAGAGGAAGAGCTGGAGAACATCTGTAACAACTCTCGAGAGAAGATCTATAACCGTTCATTGGTACAAGCCTCTAAATTGTTATCTGTGAACGTGAATGTCTGTGAGAGAAAGGATAGCTTCTATCCTTAGAGTTTTGCTAATGTTAAAGGTCTCACCATGTGGGATGTGTGGTTGTTTTTTTTTTTGTATTTTTTTCTTTTCATAGAAGAAAAGAGAGTTTTTAGCATCTTTGGAATATAGACCTCTTGGTCTGCAATAGTAGTATTTGCTTAGTAAGCCTTTGGTAGTAGTTGATCTTTTCTCAATTTAGAAATTGATTCAGCATATATCTACTATATACACAGTTGCTGGGTGTATGGTGGTATACTAAAGATAAAAAAGGATTTGGGTGGGGTTTTGGTTTTTTTTTGTGTTTGCATAAGATGTTTTAGTAGAGAAAACTAGTGTTGATCATATTAACTATAGCATGTGCCAATTGAATGAAATCAGTATGCCTGAAATACTTTTCATGTCTTTAGCATATACCCATGTATGTAGATTTGAAATAGGATTCAAAGACGAATTGTCAGACTCCATCCACAAAGAAGGACATTCTTTATGCTATTTCTCTATACAAAAAGCAGTATTTTGTTCTTTTTTTCCTTTATTTGCCTCTTTGTAGGGATCTACTTGCCACCAATGCCGCCAGAAAACTATCGATACCAAAACAAACTGCAGAAACCCGGAGTGCTGGGGTGTTCGTGGCCAGTTCTGTGGCCCCTGCCTTCGAAACCGTTATGGTGAAGAAGTCAAGGATGCTCTGCTGGATCCAGTAGGTTCCTCGAAGGGGTGGTGCTGTGGGCTTGAAGGTCAGCCACAAGTTGAAAGGGCCCAAAGGAGGGCATCCATGAGAGGACTGAGCCCTTATTGTTGTGCGGCATACATATTTCAGGGGAGGCCGATGAATTCATAGTGTTGGTGCTAGGTTAAGTGTGAGCCCCTTTCCAGAGTTTGTGGAACCAGGCCGTTCAGGGGATGCCGATTCTGTTTACCCCTGCTATTGCTATGTAGCTATTGCTATGTAACTTCCTCTGCTGCATTTCCTAAGAAAATAATCCTTCGAATGTAGGAAATGACTAATGGAAATTAATCCTATTAAAAAACCTATGAAAGGTTTTTCTATTCATTAAAAAACAAAAGATTTAAATGCAATTGATGATACCTACCTTAGATTAAAGAGAAATGGATAAGTAAGAGGAGGAAGGGAAGATTTGATTTAACTGTGCCTTTTCACAATTCTCCTTCAGAACTGGTATTGTCCGCCTTGCCGCCGAATCTGCAACTGCAGTTTCTGTCGGCAGCGAGATGGGCGGTGTGCGACTGGGGTCCTTGTGTATTTAGCCAAATACCATGGCTTTGGGAACGTGCATGCTTACTTGAAAAGGTAATTGGCTGGCTTTTCTCTCCTCCACACCCAAATCTTAACATTCATTTATGTATCTTAGTACGAAGGTGATAGAAGTCAGAATAGCGGTTATCTCCAGGTGGTGGGAACCGCATGTTTTGACTGGAAACAGGCACATTGGGAGTCTTTTTGAATGTTAGAGACATTTTATATCTTCATCTGGGTGGTGGGGACATGTATGTGTGAGTGTGTAAAAATTCAAGTTGTACATTTCAGATGTATGCACTTGACTATTTTACAACTCAGTAAAGACATTTTTAAGTAATTTTTCTTGAAGTTTACTTATTTTGAGAGAGGTAGACAATGTGAGTCGGGGAGGAGCAGAGAGGGGGAGAAAATCCCAAGCAGGCTCCACACAGTCAGTGGAGAACCTGATGCAGGGCTCGAACTTACAAACCTTGAGATCATGACCTGAGCCAAAATCAAGAGTCAGACACTTAAACCGACTGAGCCACCCAGGCACCCCTCAATGAACACATTTTTAAAACAGTGAATTAAACTTTCGAAAGAAAATTCTTAGGTCGAAAACCATATCCTGACATGTTCCTTTCTCTCTTTCAGTCTGAAACAGGAATTCGAAATGCAAGCATAGCATTTAGAAGATCCAGTACCCGTCTTCCACTGTGCAAATCTTCCAAGTTCAGGTTTTCAATTTTGTCATGTGATTGGAACCTGAGTTACGAATTTTGATGATCAGTCTGTTCTGTAGGAAATGCAAATCAAGTTCCTCTCACTAACAAACGTGTTTCTGAGCATCACAGAGGTATATCTCTAGCTATACTGTGCCCTCCTGCTGTTTCTTTGCTTTTTCCCCCACCCCTCACCTCATTCCATCCCCCTCTATTTCCAGTGGTTCCCTCCCACCATTTTGTTTCTGAATTCTTTTTGAATAGCAATTTTATGAAAGCATGTTTGATTTAATTGGCGTTGAAACCGCCCTGGAATCTGCCCATAAAACCAAGCACTTAGAAACAGTAGTAACATTAACTAACTACATCTATTGAATTTCCAGAGAACAGCCCTCTAACTTGTTTACGGGAAAGCAGTGAGCACAATTTATGATTTATTGTTCATACTAGTTAACCTTTTCTAACAGAATCAAGGCACACAAGTCTTAAAACCATGTGGAAAAATTGGGTAATTGTTGGGAAATGGAGTATTATTATTTTGGATGCCTCTCGTGAGAATATTCCATGTATTGTGCAATTGTAGTTTGCCAAGTTTATTTCCGTTCCTACGTAAGATGTTTCAAATTCCTGATCATTTTGCATGGAAAATTGATATTAGTACTAGTCTACGACTAGTCTTTGCAGTTTTTACTTTCTTGAAGTTATAACTAGGCACAGAGTTCATGTTCAGGTTTTAAGCACTTTTATAACAATGAGAAGTGCCTTTTTGGAGTTGGGTGACTTTCAACAGTTTAACTTGACATCTCTGTCCTTTTAATTTCTGGGCAGAATTCATGTGTCGCCCCTACCCCCTACCCGACCCCTTTTTGCATTAGATCGTTTTGTAGAGGTGGAATCAAAGTGTCTTTGTCCATTTTCTTTGCATGTGTAGCCTATTGCTATGGCCATTCAGTGTTTGATGCCTAATTGGACATTGAATCAATAAATGTAAATAGAGCTTTTGATCTGTAATGCTTTTATACAAAGTTTTTTATTTTAATAATAAAATGTTATATTCTAGCTTGTCTGTTTTCTTTTTTATTCTTTAATAATCTTAACTGCACTGAATCCTAATTGTCTTCTCATATTTAAACAAAAGACCATTTCTACCTTTTATAGAGTCTGCCTTTTGGCTTAAGTTTCTGAAGGTTAAGGGCCAGCTCTTTTGAACAGGACCTAGCTTGGTGATATAACCAGTTCCTGTGATCAGAAAATCAGCGGAGACAACTATAGATAGAAAATAATACATGCTCATGAAGTTTTACAACTTTGTTTTCCTTTCACCATTTGCCAACCCAAGAACTAACACCAATTTCAAAATACCTGGCTTGATTTTATCAGCCATTTGAATATTTTTTAAGTTAGAAAAAAAGTTTTTTAAATTTATTTTGAGAGAGAAAGCGAGCAAGTGGGGGAGGGGCAGAGAGAGGGAGGGGGAGAGAGAGAGCCTAATTTGGGGCTCTAACTCATGAATCATGAGATGCCCTGAGCCCAAGTCAGACACTTAGCAGACCGAGCCACCCAGGTGCCTGTATTTATTTTTTAATTTTTATACTTTAGGCTCCACGCCCAGTGTGGGGTTCAGACTCACAACTCTGAGATCAAGAGTCACATGTTCCATGGAACCATTCGAGTATTTAGGCCATGCTATATCTTGAGGCCTGCTCTAGAACTGAGAGAAGCCAAAGACAAGGCACGGTCTGAAAGCTCTCATAACCCAGTTTAGACCAGAGTTGACAAATTACAGCCTGTGGGCCAGATCCTACTGTAGCCTATATTCATATGACAGTTGCACTAAGTATGTTCTTTATTTTTTTAGAGGGTTGTAAAAAAACGCATGTGACACAGTGGTTTACAAAGCCTAAAATGTTTACAGTCTGCCACTTAACTATAGGTTTGCTGACTTAATCTCTAGACTTCTCTTGGAAATCCTGTATACCCCTATGTACTCATTTGGGGAGAAAATGATCAAGCTATGGGAAGTTACACAACTGGTATTCTAGATAGATCCAAAAGAAATGGGTATTTTTATAAACTTGGGACTCTTAACCCAAATTGTAATCTATCTCCCCCTTTTAGGTATGTGATTAGGAAGGTTAAATTCAGGGGAGTTTGTAAAATTGGTCGCTGTCTGGGATATTTTTGTTGTTACCATGTTTTAATATGAAATGGAACTGTTGTTTTTCACTCAAGAATAGTGACTAGTAACAGCTGATTCCGAGACTTAAACGATTTACGGTCTAGTGGAGGAACAAAGAGAAAAACCTAAAAATGGAATTCTGAGTAGGAATGAACACAGGAAGAGGCATTTTATAGCACTGATGGGCCCATGGGTTTTGTAATGACTTCCATCTTACAGAAAAGATACAGATCAGTGGCTTTATTTGGGGAGAACGAGTGGAGGAGGGGCAGAGAGGAGGATCGAAGATCCAAAGCGGCCTCTGCGCTGACAGGCTGACAGCACATGTGGGGCTGGAACTCATGAACTGCGAGATCATGTTCTCAGCTGAAAGGCACTCAACAGACTGAGCCACCCAGGTGCTCCAAGATGTGTGTTTTAAGAGAAGTCTGTGCCTTTATTGGCCGAGCAACTTAAAGAGGAATGGAGTGGAGGTAGTGGGTGGCCCGATGCCAGACTGGCCCAGCTTCACTGGCTTGCAGGTGATGGAGAACTCGCCCAGGTAGTGGCCAATCTTCTCTGGCAGGGCGATCCTGCTCCCCTAGTGAGCCTTAACCTCCTGGGGCCCCTCCCTGGGCGCCCCCCCTCCCCCAAACCCGGGCCTTGCGCAGGCGCCTCAGCAGCCATTACCTCGCCCGCAGCAGGCCCGCGTTGCTACCCCCGCAGCTGCGCACTAAGCCAGTGCGTGAGCTGCTGGAGGGACAAGTCCAGCCGGTGGTCAAGGCCCACGCGGTGGTAGGTGCACTTGCAAAAGGTGCGCTGCTGCTTCTGCTTTACTTCCGCCATCTTGTTGGCTCTTCAGCGAAGGTGAGAGAACTTAAGTTTTGACAATTAGGTGTGAAGAGTAAAGAGTAGTTTATGGCGTTTATGCTCCAGGAATTGTCTTTACGTTGGTCTCTCCAGCCTGGGTTCCTGAGGTTCCAGAGGCTCTCCACCTTTATCTACATCAGCTGAGGGGTTGAGGAATGAAAAAGAGACTGTAATAGACTCAGTAGTTTAATAACGAAGAGGGGCAAAAGCAGTTAGGGGTTGCTGCCGCGGGGCATAGTTGTGTTTTATTTTGCTTTTAAAAATGAGAGGGAGCTCCTGATGGCTCAAGATCAGGTAGAAAATTGGGTTATTTGCATACCGGGGGAATGGAGTAAGAAAGTTAAGTGCTTTGAAGTGTGCCTGGGAAGTATTAGCTTCTGAGTGAAGAGTGATAGCAAGTCCTAAAGGGAATAAAAGGTGAACAAATGTTATTTTACCTTAATGTTAGTGACACATTTGTGGGGTAGTATCTTAAGAGTGAGGAAGTAAATCCAGAGAAGTTGAGAAAAATGCCTAATGCCACATAGCTGAAATGGCAGAGCTAGACCATTGTTCCAGTGAAGAGGCCTGTGTCTCCTTTTTTGTTTTTTCTTTTAAAACTAAGCTGAGCTTGCCTGCCTTAGAAAAGCAGAAGGTGCTCATCAGATTCTGTCCATGAGAACAAGGTATACTGGGTGCTGAGGCAAGCTTGGCTGAGGTGACTTTTGCGGAAACCCTGTTGAATAGGGAGAGAAGAGGGCCGGGAGGGAGCTGAGGGCTTCCTGTGGTCACGGATAATGGGGAAACTCAAATACTGGATCATACCGCAAGGATGCTCTCAACCCCTGAGGCTTTTAACCACAGGGCATTAAAGCCCTGTGTGTGGAAGATGACCTTTTAAATAACTACAAGGTTGAGAAAGGCTGAAGATAAGAGGGGCCAAGAACTTCCCAAGGAGATGTTGCTGAGACAGTGGAGGATGGACTAAAGCCTGGAGTGGCAGAAGGAAGCTGGGGAATCTGCTTGGAGATGTGTAAGAAATCAACTTTGGGTTGCGGAGAAATTGGCATGTTCCAGGTAGAGGCCTCCATCCATTATAATATCCAAGTGATGAAAGACTTGTTTGAAAGAGCAAGAAGCAAAGGAGACACCATTTAAGGCTAAAAGTCACTAACATTTTGGTTGTTGTCAATCTCCCTTGCATTTTGTTTTATATGGTAGTATTTATACTATATGTACAACTTTTTTAGCATTAAGAATGTCAAAATTTGGGGCGCCTGGGTGGCACAGTCGGTTAAGCGTCCGACTTCAGCCAGGTCACGATCTCGCGGTCCGTGAGTTCGAGCCCCGCGTCGGGCTCTGGGCTGATGGCTCAGAGCCTGGAGCCTGTTTCCGATTCTGTGTCTCCCTCTCTCTCTGCCCCTCCCCCGTTCATGCTCTGTCTCTCTGTCCCAAAAATAAATAAAAAATGTTGAGAAAAAAAAAAAATTAAAAAAAAAAAAAAGAATGTCAAAATTTTTTTTAATATTTATTTTTGGGAGAGAGAGAGCACGAGTGGGGAAGGGGTAGAGAGAGAGGGAGACAGAGAATCCAAAGCAGGCTCCACGTTGTCAGCGCAAAGCCCCACATGGGGTTTGAACCCAGGAACCGTGAGATCAATACCTGAGCCAAAGTTGGATGCTCAACCAACTCAGCCAACTAAGCCACCTAGGCTTGAACTTGACCCCAAGATCAAGAGTCAGACATCCAACCCACTGAGCCACCTAGGTGTCCCATGAATGTCAAGTATTTTATATATTTTTACATTAATTTACTTATTTTGAAAGAGAGAGAGATGGGGTGCCTGGGTGGCTCAGTCGGTTGAGTGTCCGACTTCGGCTCAGGTCATGATCTCACGGTCCCGTGAGTTCGAGCCCCGCGTCCGGG